TGAAGTATTGTTGGATTTAGAATGTCATTCTCGATCGAAATAAGTAAAAATATATGGGATGTCCCATTTAAAAATAGAAAGTTTGGGTCATTTCCGGTCAAACCGGAAGTACGGCAAAGCAAGTAAATATGTAAAAAAATGTAACTTGAACTATAATACACAACCTTCAAATTTCCTTTATTAATCTCCAATAATAAAAAAGTTATATGGGTGAGACACCTTAGAGGATCACCCCGTGTAGTATGCGTAACACGAATAATTTCTGGTTGTAGATATTAGGTATACGAGTATATATGGACTTTCAAAAAACATTCGATAAAATTGATCATTATTTACCATTAGCTAAACTCAAAGCTGTTGGACTATCTGATACTTCAGATGTTCTTATGATACGAGTACCATTTTTACTTAATAGAATACAGTATGGAGGCCATACTCTCAATCTATATCTAGGCTACCTCAGATATCCTTGGAGGATCCAAACTTTTGTTCTTCATAGTAATGAATGATCTATCTCTTGTACTGCATTCTGAACATGTTTTAAAACTCATTAATACCGTTTTATAAACACCGCGACACATGTTGGACTATACAGCAGCTTTCTCAAGCGAGATAAGCGCGAATAAGCCATTATTTCTCGAGAATAAAAAATGGTTGTTGTTTCAACTATGTAGTGATTCCACTATTTAAAAGTATTCTTCAGAGAGAACTGAGTTTCATCAAACAAATTGGTAAAATCATATAAAGGAACAATTCGTTCAGGCAAGTCTCAACTCCCTACACTGCAGGTTAATGGACTGACTTCTATCAGAAAACAACTACTCCTCTGGTTAATACCATGAAGCGCGTTGGATTAGATATATACGACAGGTGTCAATGCAGGATTCTTCACTGAAGTAATACCTTCGTGGTATTAACTAGAGGAGTAGTTGTTTTTTGATAGGTATCAGTCCATTAACCTGCAGTGTAGGCAATTGAGACTGGCCTGAACGAATTGTTCCTTTAGATGATTTGATTTATAGCCAGTTTTCAAGTATGCACACTGACTATATGTGAAAAGTTTTGTTTCCTCATACGAGGAATTGGGCAAAATTGGGATAATTTAGGCCAATTTAACAAAACAGTGTTGTCGGCTAGTTCAGGAATATAAAGCTGACTTGAGATTCTTGACCAAAACTGAATATTGGTGATCGATACTTTTTTTTCTTAGAGCCACCGTTTCTGAGATACGACGAGTCAAAATGTTGTAAAACTTGTAATCGTCATTATATGCATAAGTATGCCACATATATACATCTCTGAAGTTGTAATTCAAGTAAAAATATTTTTCTATCGGTATACATAAGTATGAATATAAGAATATCAAGTGGAATGAAAGAATGATCAAAGCTATGAAGACCGATGGAGGTATTGCTCGAGGGAAGTACGAAAGAGAGTGTTAGAAGTAAATGGGTTTATAGTATGCATGCAATGAATACAGTGTGTGAAAAATTAGAAGATCTCGCTAATGTTAGGATGGATACGACCTAGCAGCATGTTGATACGAGTGGTTCCAGAGTAAAAAAATATGCTAAAGACATCCGAAAACTTTTAGAGTGGTTCTCAATACATGACCCTTTCCCAGAAGTAAACAAAATTATATCTATTGCAAGTGGTGTCGTTGGTGATGATAAAATAAACTGTTATAAAGCTCGTGAAGTTGGCCTTGCCTCTATGGCGAAAATAACAGGACTAACATTCAATGATATTAAAATTAAACGCGCAGACACAGTTGTTCCTCTTTTAGCGATGAGTAGTATTACAAAAGTTCACGAAGAAAAAGTATCTGTTGACTCTGTATTATTGTTTCAGCGCATGAGTATTACTGCAGCATTTCAAGATGAAATTGAGAAATATTTTGAATATGAATTGGATCCCTACCCTTTATCGTTGTTTGATGACCTCAGGATGCGTAAAACACAGAAGGATGCCATTTACGATTATTTCCAACAGATCAATATTGAAATTACCAATACTAATACGACATACATCATTGACGGTGGATACTTACTACATCGTGTTGTGTGGGATAGTGAAGAAATATTTAGCATTATTTAAGATAAATACGTTCAGTATGTATGTAGACATTTTGGTGCCAGAATTAAAGTCGTATTTGATGGCTATGATGATTGCATGAGAAATATTAAAGCTGCAGAATAACGTCGTCGAACTTTAGCAACATCTTTATCTTCCGATATTCTATTTGATGAACTTATGACAGTTCCTACCAGTCAACAGAAATTCCTTGCCAATATTCACAACAAATCTCGGTTCATTTCAATGTTGAAGGATAAATTTATTGACCAAAACATATTGGTTAAACAGGTTAATAACGATGCCGACATACTGATTATTGAAATAGCTATAGAGCAATTTAATTTGACAAATACAACTATTGTTGTTGGTGAAGATGTAGACTTACTAGTACTTCTCACTGATCGAACTCCACCTTAAAAAACTATTTTCTTTCTAAAGCCAGGAAAAGCTCAAAGTCAAACCGAAATATATTCGTCAAAAAGTTTATCTACTTTTGAAACGAGTCAAAATCATGTACTATTTTTACACGCAATAACTGGCTGTGATACGACGTCTGCATTTTACAGGAGGGGAAAAGCTACAATCTTTGAAATGTTTTAAAAACAAGATTTACTTCAACGTGCTGGAGTTTTCAAAAAAAGTAATTCGACTCAACAAAAAATTATCACCAACGGGATTCAGTTCCCTCTTTCTATGTACGAAGCTCCGAAAAAAACCAGCTGCTTAGATAAGTGTCGATATGCATGTTTCGTAAAAAACACTGAAAATAAGAAACAGGTGCAATTAGCTTTTGTCTTCCTCCAACCTCAGTTGCTGCTCATCAACATCTTTTTCGGGTATATTACCAAGTTCAAGTGTGGCTTGGTTATCAGCTAGACCCAAAAGACTGGGGTTGGAAGTTGGTCAACAATGCATTAGAACCTATTCGGACTTTACTCCCAACTGCGCCGGAAAAACTGCTGAACACAATTTTTTCAACTGTAAAAAGGGATGCAGCGCTAAATGTGGTTGTAAGAAAGTTGGACTGTTGTGTTCTCTGGCGTGTACACATTGTCAAGGCCAGTCATGTTCTAATGCTGAATCACCAATAGTGGAGGATTAATTTGATATCAACGAGGAAACGTGCGATACATCACTCTTGGCGCAGTTTACCTACACCCAGGATGAGCATCAAGAAGAAGAAAAAGTTCAAGAAGAAGAAGAATACCAAGAAGAAGAACGACAAGAAGAAGCATTTGAAGGTTATGACTCAGATGAATGAATTTTTACATTTTTTTTCAATTTCAATCGCTTTTATAATTTCCAACCCTTCCTAATATATTTTATTATGCAAGTTTTCAATTTGACAGAATCACAACAGACATGTGGAATAGGCCTACTGGGAAAACCACGTTAAAAAAAACGCGCTAAGTATATTACCTCATAGGTGGCGTGGAAACGTGTGCATATAATGACGATTACAACTTTTACAATGTTTTGACTCGTCGTATCTCAGAAACGGTGGCTCTAAGAAAAAAAAAGTATTGATACATTTTTTGTAGAGAATTTTATGATCTACTATTTTTATCTGAAATTATTTCATGATAAAACTTACCGTTTTCCTGAATATCGCGATAAACCAATTTTTTTCGAGATTTTTGACCTTTGACCTCGAATAAATTTTTTTCCAGGCATCGCAATCATTTGGAATTTTAAAATCTTATTTTTAACTATGTTTTGAACAATTACACGCGTTTGCAGCTTGTTCTAAATGTATGTACCTTCCAATGTCTAGATTGACGTGATTACTTTTATCCGCAGGAGGGGGGACGCCAGTTGGAATATTTAAAAATCATTTTTTATTGCACATCTACGATATGCAACGAACCTACATACAAAATTTCAGCATACAAAATTATAGCGGTACGGAGAAACAGTGATGAAAAGCTAATTTTCATATGTAAACGGTCCCCTTTTACCCTCTCGGGGGGCGACTAAAATGATATATTCGAAAATTACTTCTTAGTGCGCATCTAAGACCTAAGGAGCACCTATATAGTAAATTTCAGCTTCCTAGGACTTAGCAGTACGAAGAAACAGAGATGATTGAGTGTTAAGTGACTTTTGCATTTATTGGTATTGATAAGATTATTCAAAATCAATAATAATATTCATCTTCGAGTATTCATTAATTTTTTGATTGTAATAATTTAACAATTAAATATTATCTTTTCAGCAGTTTCAAGTCATCAGCATAAATAGGTACAGATTCTCTTGGATGAAAAAATATCATCAGGTCAAAGAAATTGATCCCAAATGAAACACAATTATGACATTCAATTAGCGAAATGCCCCGACTCCGCACGGGTGCAATGATAATACATATAATTGAATTGAATTGAAACTGGGTACCATGGGTACCATCATTAAGGGGTACTTCTCGAAATTATGGATCATAAACACTTATCTTCGATGCCTTATTTGAACCATTGAAGACAAAAACACACGCAACTATTGCATAAAATCATGACTACTTCACCGGAAGTGGAAAATGTCACGATAACACTACGTAATGGCATTTATACGATTATTTGATTCAATCCCAGCTGTTTCGTTAAAATTGAAAAGAGTATAATTTTTTGGAAAGATTGATTCTATGAAAAGCTATTTGGCTTTATACTTCTCCATATTTATACAAAGAAATGTGAGAAACTCACCATTAATTATTTCATTTTTATTTCAGATCACGATAATTTGTTTTCCTTACAAATCAGTGTTCTTATATTTTTCAACTACATTCGATTGTTTACTGACTGGGGTATTTCATAAAAATAATCAAATTCATTGATACTTGAAATATGTGCCTTATATTTTGAGATGATTGTATGTTCATGAAAATTACATCAAAGATAAGATTTGAAGCTCAATACGATACTTATAACAATGAACGGAATTTGATAAGAGTACAGCGTCATATACAGTTCAGTTCTTTCAGAATGAAGTTCGCTTGTTCAAGTTGGATCCTTTTTCTATTCATAATTGGGAATTCGCAGGTAAGTTTGCTACACCATTTGATGACACGACGCAAATCAGATGAGAAAATAAATGAAAGTATCTTACAGCACTGGTGTCATCATGAGTTCTGAAAATAATTGTTTCGGATACTCAAGTTATTTTATATTCGAGAGGAAAGTAAAGATTTTACAGTCTCCACTGAAACATGTGGCAATGGAAATGCACTGTTTTGTGAATTCGTGTCAACGGTTTATCATTCTTTTCAACTGACTAATATATTGAACCTACGAAAAAACTTTCATTATGCATGCCTCAGAAATTTCTTGGTACAAACTTTGTCGTACAGTACACGCAAGAGAAATGTTGGGAGTCTAAATAGTCTACCCTATACCAAACGAATCATGTTTGCATAGTGAAACGGAAAACCAAAAAATCAGTTTTTGAGATGTATAAGAAAACACAACTGAATAATAAGATTGGCAAAACAAATTGAAAACTCTCACGACACCGCTTCCAAATCTTAAGCTTTTTCTCAAATTCATAAACCATCCTTATAAATAAGATATATTGTTTTTTATTCACACGATGAAAAAATAATTGACAGACATTTCAACTCTTGCTTACCATATTGAAAATATATTATTTGTTAATAATGTGGTTGTCAATGTTTCTGGTGAATGTGAACAGAACCGAAATATTCTAAAGCGTTTATTCAAACAAGAATAATGTCAAACATTTGAGAAAAACTAAAGCGCCCACGCTTTTTTCACAATCATACTGGTATTGAATTCAATTCAAGATTTGGGATGAGAAGGTTACCAACTGGTGGTATAAACGGAATGAATGAATATCAATCACTTCTTGTCCTGAAATTACATATTTGAAATATCTGTTCTCATTAGAATATGTTAAACTAGTGATATTTTCGAATCACCCTATAGTAACACTGTTCTTTCTGATTTTAGCTTCCCATTGAAGCCAAGAAAGTAGAATCCTCCAAAAACAATCTGGAGATCACAAATGGTGACGTGGCAGAACCTAATTCATTTCCTTACGTGGTGAGTATATTCCACTTTTCTAGTTTCCACCTAAGTAATAAATAGCTCACAATCATGTATATTGAATGTTTTCCCAGAAATACTGATATATCTGAAATAATATACAAAATATACGATAATGTATGTCAAAATTGGTTTTTCAGCGAGTGCAGTCTTTATAAACAAACTGAATGAGAATAAAATAGATCAAAAAAATTATGTTAATTGGTTTTTTGAAAAGTTCGGAAGAGCCTAGGTAGCAGTACTTTCCTCAGCAATCTATAGTATTGATCAGAAAAAAAATTAATAAAATCGTTGGGCGCAGCGCAACCTGTGTAAATATGTGAATACTACGCCCAACGATTTTATTATTTTTTATCTGATTAATACCGTAGATTACTGAGGTGAGTGGTGGGATGACCGCCACCTAGGACCTTTCGAATTATTTTTCAGTTTTTAGTACATTATCTACATCTTCATTGTTTTTTTTTCCCAATGAAACCGTTTTACTTAATTGTTTTTTACTAATTTTACTTTCATCTCTTCAGTTTCTAATTTTGTTAGTCAATTCTTCTTATTCTGTACAGTTCATTTAGTTCCTCAGTATTACAAGGTTATTTGTAATTCGCCATTTTGTAGCTGCGGCCATCTTGAATTTGCATCTCTTTTAAAGTTTACTACTACTCAACTTGTCAATCCCTGTCATTTGATACCCATATTGAGGTAATTGTGTTAGATTCACAATGACACATCATTTTTTGAATTGTATTGTCATCAAAACTAAATGTGTGTACAGATTATCAGATCAATTAATACTGAATTTGACCCAAATAAATGAATAAATAAACAAACAAACAAACAGGGCAAGCTAAATAAAACCGTTCAAAAACAGTACATTCCTTAGGAACTCAGAAAAACGTAAGAACTCATCGATTTTTAGTTGAAACTATTTTCGGTATTTTTGACTATTTCACCCAAAGCCAGGGTGACAGCCATTCCAAAGTTTCAAATAGTAGGAACGTCGAATAAGATGTCGTTTTAGATCTTGAAATTCTCTTTATTATTTTATTATTCCGATTGCTATTATTGAGAAATTACAATTGGAATTTTCAATTTATGAATTTCGAGATTACATCAAGTCTATTCGAATTGAAACCACCTCATGTGATGCCTTATTGGATGGTAAGGGGTGATTATTTCCATATTATATCACTAGCCTTCGCAATTATGTATCTTTCTGATATTTTATAAATATTTTCTCGGGTTTTCTATTCTCTCAACATGTGGAGTGGAAAATTAATTTTGAAATTGTCATTCTTTATATCACATGACAAAATAACTTCACATATTACCCGTCTATATTAGTATCATCTAGATAAATGTGAAAGATTCGATGAAAATAAAAATTCATGAATTTCAATAATGTATTTATTACCATACAAAAATTCTAAAAAGTTGAAATATTCAATATTTCATTACTATGTTTTCCAAAAATAGGTAGCAATACTTACGATTATAGATGACAGAATAGTAACGTGTGGAGGTTCCCTTATAAGCGATTCATTAGTTTTGACAGCAGCAAGATGCGTTTACGGGTGAGTCCAATTTGACACTATTCATTATTTATCTCATTACAACTGTTTGAAAAAATGTGTGTGTGAAATGTATATTTTCGTCAACCACCTATCGACCCCACTTGAACGACAATGCTCGACTTGTTTCGTGTTGAGGATTAACGAGGTTTTACCTTCCAACGTGTGATTCTCAGCAAGGGATAATCGATACACAGTAAACGCATATCGTTCCAGAATTGACATCGAATTAACGTTCACAATCGCCGTTGATAAAGCGTCTCCAGGAAAAATAATACGAACAATTATCTTCTTCACAAAATGGTTTAAACTTTCACGGCTGAGGTTTTCAGTATCATTGCTTTTCGAGTTTGAAAGCCGTTAATTAGAGTAGTGAAATATCGGAAAAGAAAAAAATCCCATTATTTCCAAAATGACTCAAAATATCAGAAATTGTTAGTGATCAAATTTTATTCATCTCAATGATTTTGTGACATTATTATAGCCTGTCCTGTATGCATGATTATTATAGGCTTAATTATCAACAACATCTCTGCATTTTCAGAGCAACAGATGCAGATATTAGTATTGGAGCACACGATTTGAAGAATTTGGAAGAAAATCACATACAAATGACATCAAAGTCATTTATCATTCATGAAGGATACCAAAACGGCAGTATGCATCATGACATAGCAGTAATAGAACTTGAATCTGCCGTTACACTCAGTGGTAAGAAATAATAAAATTGAATGGGGCATATTTTTTAGGAGGGATTAGTTTTTGGAAAAAAAGTTTTTTGAGTACGTTTCCATATTTATATAAAATGTGTTGAAGACTTTGGGAGGAAGGAAGAAATCAATTGAATTGAAAATAAATAAACTGGAAAAATAAATCCCTCCTGAAAAAAATACTTTCACATGAACATTCGCTCAGATGGATTTCTTTCCAGAACATCTAGAAACAACTGGTATCAGATGTGATATTATTGTATATAACGTATATCAGAGAAGACTGGAAGATCTGGTAGTAAATATTTGAACCTAGCAATTTCTACTTCTTCAATCATTCAACCAAGATTGACTGTGAGCGACACAATCAGGTTGTAGGCGATTTTTCTCTAGATTGCAATAAAAAAATTCTATGGAAAGTTTATGAAAACATTGCATCCGTCTTCTCAGAAATTACATATTGTTTTGAAACTCAAATATGATTTCAAAATATTTTTCAGATCGAATCGCTACGGTGAAGCTTCCACAATACAGTGATATCTCCACAAATTTCAACGGAAGACAGGGAGTCGTAGCAGGGTGGGGCAAAACCAGTGACACTGACAATTCTACCAGCAACGTGCTACATTATGCTAAGCTGACGATTATTCCAAACACGGTTTGTACGATATCACATGCTTTTCAAATCAGTTTGGAGCAAATATGCACTTCAGGAGTTGCAAGAAAAAATATATGTTTGGGAGATTCTGGCAGTCCTTTGGTTGTAGATGGAATCCAGGTAGGCTAATTTAGGTCGAAAGTGAGTAGATTTATTCGACCCTCCCCGCAACCTGCAAGGGTTTATTGTGGCTCACACTTATTCACACTCGACCAAATAAAATCAGCTTCTTAACGAAGCCGATTGGTTTATATGGTGATTGATCTCTCAGATCAGATGGTAAGAGTGTGGCTCTGCCAAACTCATCAGAGGCGACACACACTGTCTTCCGACCGTCCGAGTCTTTGCATACCATGGTTCAGATGACAGTGACCTGTGAGAAAGCCTGTTTAACATTGTAGTTCATTCTTACTGTAGTCGAACAACTGTTTGGTTTCGGAACTTCGAAGGGTGAAAGAACGCCTTGGAGGGAGCCAATCCTGGAAGATTTTGCAAGAAGTCAATAAATCTTCTTGCCACCCAGGTGTTCAGTGTTCGTTTGGCAAAGCCTAAAGCGATGCCAGTGACAAGTTCTGGTTCGATGAAGCTGCTTGCAGCACCCTCCTTTGTGAGGGAGTCAGCAGTTTCATTGCCTTTCATTCAGACCAGAGACAATGACGATAATAATAATAATTATAATAATAATATCGCCTTCATTATTTCATAACCAAAACATAAAACGCAACATAGCTTATATTTTCAGCTTTGAATTGAAATAAAGGGCGAAGTTCATAGTCCTTAATGAAATACATCACGGAAAATGTTCTTCCACTCAACCCTGAAAAGAGAACAAATTACGCGCAACCTAGGTCAACTTTGCTTAATGAAATTTCTTGTAAAGTGAATGTATATTTCAAATATTAGATTGTTTCTAAAGTTTTGGCCGTTTCAATGTCATGTGTTTTCGCAGCTCCATATCTCAATAGATATATATTCTACTGTATCATGGTACGAGTATATGCTGATAGAGAATTTTCTGTTCTATATATTGATGATGGCGGAAGAAATGGGCGGCAGCTCCCATGCGTTTTCTGATGGTTTGAAACGTATTGAAAATGTCGAAAAGTTCAAGTGCCCTACAATATGAATAATGGACACAAATTGTCACGTTTCGAATTCTGTTCTTTTTTGCTTTCGCGCAAACAAAACGATCATTTTTTGGATCGGATCTTCACGTGTGAAATAAAGTGGATTCTCTACGACAAAAGGAGACGTTCAGGACAGTGAGTGGACACTGATGAGTCATCCAGGTAAAAACCCACAAAGAAAACACCATGGTTACTCTATGGTTACAGCATAGATAACAATCAGAAATGTCACTTCGCTTGGCTGGAGAAGTTTGCGCATATCCGTCGCGTTGATGAGTCCGCCATTTTGGGAAGTGAGAGACTTTCTCATTCTGCTTTTGACTTTGCTCTTGTTAGGACGTATAATATGTCACCTGTGTTCTGTGCGTATCGTGAATTTTATTTTTTAACATAATGGCAAAACTAATAGGTGGTGGACACGTTTGTGCTGTAAATAGTTGTAAAAGTAACAGTTCAAAATCCAAAATAAGTTTTTTCATGTTTCCGAAGGACCAAGAGAGGAAAGAACATTCTCCACCAAGTTAATATTTGTTTTCATAGAGCCTACCTATTATTTTTGTAAACAGCAACATTGCTCTGGTGGAAATACTTAATGTTTTCACAACAGAATTTCTTCATTGTCTCCTTTAGGATATAATCTCTCAAATAATGCTTTTCACAGAAGGTGCTGTGAGAGAAATATATTTTTCATTAGACGAAGTAAAACAAATCTCACTTTATCAAATGAGTTATCCGCCTCTCAATTATACCCAGAAAATTATTTTAATGTACTTTTCCTCAAAAATCGAATTTGTTGGTAAGTTCAGTGTATGAACTATTCACCTGTTGTGGTATCTGTGACAGTTTCAGTGTTCGAAATTTCATGTATAGCTTTTTTTACTCATATTATCAATGTTTTTAACCCTGAAACCACAATGTTACTGTTTCGTTCATAATAATTAAACTGCATTGAGGATGACCAAATAAAAGGTCGAAACGTCGACATAACAGAATTTTATATTCTGTTTCACTGACTTATTTCAGTGATGATTGTTATTGGAAAGTACATGTCAGAAGTACCTGTCAGAAGGGGGTTCGTAGGGGTGGCATTTTTGCGTTGAATAATGTCAAATTTTAATTTACATTTGATGTGTTTTGGTATTTTTTTAAAATATGGACAGTAACGGAAATAAAGAATTTATTCTATATGGGTTTTATACACTATATATATGTAATGCCATTGAAAATCAATCTGTGCACTCACTTTTTTGTATGTGTTTTCTGAAGTATTTTTTTTTTAATTCTTCAGTTGCATATCACTATGCCTGAAATTAGAATGTCTGCAAAAGAATTATTATGTCAATTGAATTTGGGTCCATTCCGTAAGGTATATCAAAATTATATGAGCATTTTGGATATGAAAAAGTTTGAGTGCGAACCTGTTCAAAACCATTTCGCGAGTCCTGCCCTCTCATCGTCACTTTTCAAAATGGCGTCTAGATACTTTTCCAATCAAAGGCGGCATGGCCAAGTGTCCATGCAGATTGTTACCTATGCTGTGGTATGGTGGTCAGCGGCTAGTGTGATTCACTATGACTCGTCAAAAGAAGAGGTCTCATCCTGCTACACGATAATGCCCGTCCGCACGTTTCACAAACCACAGTCCGAAAATTAATAGAATTGAGGGTTGAAGTTCTGCCTTACTCATCATACTCAACAGACCTTTCGCCATCCGACTATAATCTTGTCAAGCGCTTTTATAACGTTCTCACCAGTAGAACCTTCGCTAATCACGGCCAGTCAGAAACGGCCTTCGTCGACTTCATCGAATCTCGAGGACCTAATATTTATGGTGACGGAATTATTCGACTTGTGTTACGTTGTCAAAAGTGCAGTGATAAAAATAGCGCTTATTTCGGTCAAATTGAATCAGAATTCCTAAGATATCACGGTTTCAAGTATACTCAGGACTTTTGAAACAACCGAATGATTTAAAATAAACAGATATCATTATTGTAACACGAAGGCGATAACATATAAATTAGGAGACGAAAAAATAGAACGATTGACTTGATAACATTCATTCAGTGACCTTCATTGTGAAAGATGGTGGTTTGCCCAGTTGTAGTTGTGAGGTTTAGTTTTAGCCATCTCCTGATGACGCTAACTTGATTAGTGAAATGCGGGTCGAAAGTCAATACTTTTGTTTTGGTGTAGGAAATATTTCAATAGTAGAATAGAATGATTACTCTCACATTAATTTTTTTTGATTTCAGATTGGAATAGCATCGTTTGGAAGTGACTTTGGATGTGAAGTAGGCCTTCCTGGGGTATATACAAGAGTAACCTCTTATCTGAATTGGTTGGGAATTAGCCCCAAATGATTATTCAGTACACATGCCAATATAATTTCGAGTTACAATTATCAATAAATAATGCATTTTGATATCCCCTATCTTCAGTGAGAAATCCCACTAATATCCTTCCATTATGATAATTTACTTCGACTTCCTGAAAATATGATAAATATAAAGGTTTTCTATACTGTATAATTCCAGAGGAGAATTCCATATCATATTTTATGAAAAAGTTAACAGGATGTTAAAAATCGGTGTTTAATCACTCAGGAGTCTTTGAACCGATTATTTCGAAACTAGAAAACAAAGAAACACATGGTTGTAAACCACTACCTTTTTTTAAATTACGTATTATCTTTGGAATCAATTACTCTCCTCAGTTGAAGAAAATGAAATGTTTCCTTTGACTTTTATCAGTGTTATTGATATTACCTAAACCTCAAAAAGTTACATCCTGTATAAAACATAGGTTGAAAATGTCAGTGAAATAAAATTGAATGAAACCCACAAGACGAAGATAAAAAAAAGTTTTGGTTTCATACTCCTCCATTAATAAAATGTGGGAATCTTCCAAAGGATGAAAGAAAGCTATTAATTCCAAAATGAACTCTATACAAGATGTGTAGTTTAGGCAAAGAACTAACTTGCAGACACAAACTGGATGAAAAAGCCCTACTGAAACAGCTACTTTCATATAAACATTGAATTACATTTTGACGAACACTTGATATCGGTGATTGGCATTCAACAGAGAAAGAGTTCGATTATCTGGCGATGACCAATCACCATAACTGATATCTTATGAATATTTCGTGTACGTTATTAGTTATATCACGATAAGTAACAGGTTTAAAATAGGTATGTTGGGGGTATTATTGCACTATAGTTTCTAACCCAGTGGTTGGATCATGGAATTGAATTTTCGAGTGGTGTTATTGATTTTTACAGTGGTATCAATTTGTATCATTCGAAGAACCGAAACAAGGCAACATCATTTGCTGGACAAAGAATGTAAGTTGAAAAAAGTCTTGTCTATTAAAAAATAATTTAAATTTGAGTGTTATGGACAACTGAGACATACCAGATTGTCTTCATTACTTGAATTTGAAAATATGTAAATTGGTCAGAGAATAGACTATTCCTTAGTTCTACATGTTAACTTGGGATTAAAATTTAGACAATTCCAATTGCCGTAGCAAATTCACAAGATATGCTGATTACGCGCAGCTTTCTTATTTGAGTAAAAATTGTAACTTTTTTGAAGATTGCGAGACAAATTTTGATAACAAGGCAAACGACTGAGAGTGACATTTATATTTTCAGTTGATAAAACTTTTCTATATATTTTTTTCACATATAGTCAGTCAGTGATGTGCATACTTGAAGACTGGCTATAAATCGAATCATCTGAAAGAATAATTCGTTCAGGCCAGTGTCAACTCCCTACACTCTAGGTTAATGTACTGACACCTATCAGAAAACAACTACTCCCCTCGCTAATACCACGAAGGGTGTTGGATTATATCCCACAGGTGTCAGTGCAGGATTCTTCACTGAAGTTATTCCTGCATATGCTGTTGGCGATACAACTGCCGCAATAGATTTTCAATTATTGGAACACACTTGCAGACCGGTTTCGGGCTGTTTGGCCACTCGTCAGTGCAAGGTAGTGTATATCATCAACATAAAGTCGATGATTTCCGATAATTGAAAATCGAATTCCGTCAGAGTATCATTCCTCGAACTAAGCTGAAGACTACAACAAACATCAGGTTTGTCGTCGCCCCATCTGCCTGTGAACGAGGTAACCAACTGCAAATCTGAAATTTGCCCAATTACTCGTATAAGGAAAGAAAACTTTTCATATATAGTCAGTGGGCATACTTGAAGACTGGCTATAAATCAAATCATCTAAAAGAACAATTCGTTCAGGCCAGTGTCAAACCCCTATACTGTGGGTCAATGGACTGACACCAATCAGAAAACAATTACTCCCCTGGCTAATACCACGAAAAGCGTTGGATTATATCCGACAGGTCAGTGCAGGATTCTTCACTGAAGTTATTCCTGCATATACTGTTTGCGATACAACTGCCGCAATAGATTTTCAATCGTATGCTTCAGCTTAGTTCGAGGAATGATACTCTAGAAGGAATTTGATTTTAAATTATCGGAAATCATCGACTTTATGTTGATGATTCATTCATTATAGTAGTGTGGAAACCATACAATGATGCACTAGATTGTACTAGTTCAGGATATTTGCGGCTGCTACACTAGAGAAGGGGGAAAGTATGTATACCTCGAAATATATTATGGTTGTAAGAAGTCGCTGTAATAAAGATCGTGAAAGACGCTTGGGAACATTATAATCCAGATAGTTTCTGAAATTCCAGTTGGAGTTAACATGTACTGTTCTCGACCATAAACATGTAATGTGTCTTGAGAATAAAGCATCACTATCAATAAATTTCAATCAAAATGATAAACTGAACTGAATTCTTTCAGTTGTCTGGAAGTTAGGCCTTATTATACGAATTATATTTCAAGAAACAAAAGCAAGCGTAACTACTTATCAAACACCAGTATCTGTAAATTACGAAAAAATTAAAACCAAATAACTCAATTGACTAACTAAAGAATGATCTAGCACAAACAGGTATTTGGCGATAGCATATTGATGTTCAATTGTGAGTTCTCTCTACGTTGAAGGTGATTAGTATAAGTTTATATTTCCAACAAATGATATTGCTGTTAAAAAATCTGTTAAAATTTGTTTCTTCCTTAACCAGCTGTCTCCCTCCTACGAACGACAACTCCCAAAAGTCGAAACTTGTGCGTAGTCTTACTTTCCCACGTGTGATTCCTAACACGGGTTGGACGTTAGGAAGTGAAAATCGATCGTTTGGTCTTACATTTCGAACCAGCGGTTCACACAGCGGTGGATTGAGTGAGCGGAGCAAGCCACCCACATCAACCCACCAGGCTACACTCTACACAGGCTACACTCACTGTACCTGTAGTCTACAATAATATTCAATAGTCAGAACTTTGGAGATCTAAGCTGAGAAACAATGTTCCTATTTGATAAAATCGGCGACCACGTGAGCTAACGTTTTGCGCAAGAGTCAGTGTGAAAAACCAAAAGAAGTAAACGTCAACAACAAATGATCACTTCAAAAAATGTTAGGTGAACCTGACAAGAAGATTTTGGAAAATAAAAAGTTGGAGATATACGGAATGAGCTGTGAGGACTGTGACAAAAATATATCGGCCAGACTGAACGAACAATTGAAACTTGTTTCAAAGAACACACATCACATATCCGATTCTGAAGACCAGAAAAATCTAGTGTCGCTCAAAACTCCTTGTAGAACGTTCATAGAATGAATGGTTAGGTTAGGTTAGGTCCAAAGTGAATGGGTCTATTCGATCTTCACCTCAACCCGTAAGGGTTTATTATGACTCACACCTCTTCACACCCGACCAAATAAACCCAGCTTCTCAACGAAGTCGATTAGTTGGTGAGTGGTCTTTCAGGTCAGATGGTAGGAGTACATTTCTGCCGAACTCTAAAAACCTGATTCGGTTCGATGTGATCTGCTGTTTCATCATTTTCCAAACAGAGGCGACACACACTGTCTTTCGACAGTCCGAGTCTCTGCATATGATGATTCAAACGACAGTTACCTCTAAGAAGGCCTGTTAGACATCGTAGTTCATCCCTACTGTAGTCCAACAACTGTTTCGTATCAAGCTTCGAAGGGTAAATGAAGGCTTTGGAGTGAGCCAATCCTGGAAGATTCTGCTAGAAGTTCATATATCTTCTTGCCATCCAGTTTTTCAATATTTGTTTGGCAAAGCCTAAAGTGATGCCAACGACAGCTTCTGGTCCGATGGAGCTGCTTGCAGCATTCTTGCAAGGGAGTCAGCAGCCTCATTGCCTTCTAGGCCAGTATGGCCAGTGATCCAGATAAGAGGCAATCTATTGAGTCTTTCTATCGAGAAGAGTCGTTTTTGGCAATTCGCTTCCAATTTAGATGTTGCTCGGCAGGAGCCAAGAACTTACAATGCCGCTTGACTGTCCGAAAATATTTTTATTGACTTGTGTATGAGGTTGGATTCTTCCAATCTCTCCGCACACAATTCAATAGCGTGAATTTCCGCTTGAAATACAGTCGCATAGGTTCCTAGGCAGGTTGATATCTCTGTCCTAGGTCTGCAACTGAAAACACCTGCATCAGAACCGGAAGGTGTTTTTGATCCATCTGTGAACCAACAACTATCAGAATGAATGGTACATGACACCAGATTTTTTTATCCTTTCGAAAGTCTGGAAATAGCAATAGTGTAGAATGGGAACTAAGAACAGTGACATTCTGAACAGTCCATTGTATTTTTTCTGTCATTAATAATCTATTGAAATTTGATGGAGCTCTAACGAGAAAGTTTTCCGCAAGTTCCTTCCCGAAATCATTGATATGTATCGGAAAATGAAAGTAAATGGTGTACCTTCTTAGATAGAAATAAGGAGGTACAGAGCTTGAAATCACTTTTGTTCACCTTCTGAAGATGCCAACTTGCCTGGTGAAACACAAAATAAAAGTCCTCGTTCTTGGATTTAATCTACGCTATAAGTTTCAGTTTTACGTTTTATTAAGATTTTTTTCAATAAATCAATTATTTCTTCATTTATTTCATCAATATTATCATGAATGAAAATAGGAGAAAAGTCCATTGTTACTTACCACCTTTCACAAGTTGTTTTCGAAAAAAAATTCAAGATTACGGAAAAGGGTAACCCACGGTATGAGCAGTGGTCCATTGGTTAATGACGCTGTCACTACCTCCCACTGGGTTGGAACTTTCATGGAACATCATTTCATATTTAAATCTGAAAAAAGATACAATTATAGATTTTCCCGAATTAGGACTTCGGAAGTAATCCTTTCCTCTTATTTATAGATGATTCAGAGAATATAAGGAAAAAATATGGTGGAGACTTGTCAACCGCGATATTCGATATCATTATAGGATTCCCACTAGACCATGTTGCCATTTGTTTCGACAACAGGACAGGTAGTTCTCTATGAAGTATGTTTTCGATTTGATGTTATCTTTTTCAGAAATTGAGTTCGTGGAACACTTGGTCAAACAACTGAAAAACGGAACTGTTTTGATAACAATTTTTAACATCGCCATTACGGAAATGCAAGAAAGGGTTAGACGAAAATTAATTATTATAAACAAAAACGTTCAAAAAGCTAAATGTTTTCTGTTTCAGTATTTCGAATATTTGTCATATCAGACGGAAAATCATTTAGAATCGTACAATATCTTTTTTGGAACACATCGACTATATGAACATTTACTATTGGAGGTATATACACACACTTATTTTCTTTGTCAAATGTTTTCAGAAGTGTTTCAGTTACTTGATTTCCAACAAACCCAAATCTATTTTCAGATTGCAAGCAGAAACTTCATCCGACGAAACATAATCTATATTTTTTACTGGGGTCAGAGTCTATTTTCGAGATATTTTCTGAGAAATATAAAATACTGTATGAAAATATATGCTATCACGAATCCAAGAAATGATACGTAAGTATCTTGATTGAATATTTCAGATTTTATGATATGATGAAATATACACGTATTTAAGTCACAGTTTCTGATATTTTTACTAAATAGTTCACAAAACCGCAAGACACGTTTCGTTATATGATATATTCTCATATACATGACCGACTTCATTGAACCCACCATTAATATTTCCCTTTCTTTTTGAAAAATCAAGACTTGGATGTTAGGTTAGGTTAGGTCCAAAGTGAGTGGGTCTATTCGACCCTCCACCGCAACCCGCAAGCGTCTATTGTGGCTCACAACTATTCACACTTTGCCAAATAAACCCAGCTTCTTAACGCAGCTGATAAGTTTGTATGGTGAGTGGCCTTTCAGGTCAGATGGTAAGAGTACTGCTCTGCCAAACTCTAAAAACCTGATTCGGTCCGCAGCCGGGAAGGCACAAAGTATTTGCTCTGCTGTTTCATCATTTTCCAAACAGAGGCGACACTCAATGTCTTTCGACAGACCGAGTCTCTGCATATGATGATTTAAATGATAGTGATCTGTAAGAAGGCCTGTTAGACATCATAGTTTGTCCCTACTGTAGTCCAATAACTGTTTGGTATCAAGCTTCGAAGGGTGAATAAACGCTTTGGAGTGAGCCAATCCTGGAAGATTCTGCCAGAAGTCCATGAATCTTCTTGTCATCCAGGTATTCAATCTTTGTTTGACAAAGCCTGAAGACAAAGCCAATGACAGGTTCTGGTCCGATGAAGCTGCTTGCAGACCAGTGACAATATGTTGAGTCTTCCTATCAAGGAGATTCGTTTTTGGCAATTTGCTATCAATTTAGACGTTGCTTGGTAGGAACCAAGTGCTCCCAACGCCGCTTGACTGTCCGAGAATATTTTTATTGACTTGTGTATGAGGTTGGATTCTTCCAATCTCTCCGCATACAATTCAATAGCGTAATTTTCCGCTTGAAATACAGTCGCATAGGTTTCTAGGCAGGTTGATACCTCTGTCCTGGGTCTGCGACTGAAAACACTCCCACCAGAACCGGAAGATGTTTTTGATCCATGTGTGAACCAACAACTATCTGCTCTTAATATTTCCCGGAGGATTCAGTCATCTCTACTCGGGAGACATGGATGTGGCTCTCAGAACAAATATGATTCAAGTAAGTTCAATAAAATCAAAACTTCAGTGCCGGATATATCAGGAGTTCATGAGTTACTTTGTGGTTTTTGCCCAAAACTTCATATTGACCATATGGCAAAAACATTTTCCCAAAGAATAAAAAGCATTGGAGGAGTTTCTTGAATGTTAAGAGAAATTCCACAATTGCAACAATCTTTTGGCAGAGGAGCAAGATTTCAATTGCGACTGTGACGTCTTACCTTCGGAAGAGAAAAGTTTGAAAATCAATCTTTCGAAATGTTCGAAAATCAATATATTAGATAATTAGGAACATTCACTGAATGATCAAATAGAATTGAATAATTCCCTTTAATGATATGATATTTTCTGATATGAAAATTTATAATTAGTTGATAAGTCAACTTCGATTATTTTGTTTATTCCATTTGTATTCCAAACATCGTAATGAAATTGAATCAAATCTCATTCAGAGGATTCCTACACAATATAATAGATGAAAGAAGTAAAATTTCACTCACATGGAACACTGTCATCCTCACTGGTACACATTCTTTATTTGGCTCTTTGGTACGAAATACCGGTAACATTCTAAGAATAACACTCAATTTATTAATAAAATTTCGACTCTTCATCACGAAATAAGTTAAATCTATCTATGTCACCGGTGACAGAACCTAATATTCATTCGCTTATTTGATTGAATATCAGTTATAGTAATCTTGTTTAAATTAAAAGGGTAAATCATGCAGAGAAGTAATTTCCAGACACAAACTCTATATTTTAGTATTCATATAAAAGTATTTTTTTCGAAAGTATTTTTCTTTCGTGTAATTCAATGTTTATATGAAAATAGCTGTTTCGAGGGGGCTTTTTCTTCTAGTTTGTGTTTGAAAGCTACGTTTTTGCATGATCTACATATTTTTATGTACAGTTAATTTTTTGAAATTGATTGCTTCCTTTCCTTCTTTGGAAGATTCCCACATTTTTGTATCAAAATTAAGAAGTAGTAAGCCAAAACATTTCTTGATAAGAATATCGTTCCACAAACTGAATATATTTAACCACAGTTCCAGCCCAATCAACTGAACAGTATTTTCATAATATATTTCCTCTTGAAGACTGGCTATAAATCATATCATCTAAAAGAACAATTCGTTCAGGCCAGTGTCAACTCCCTACATTGTAGGTTAATGGACTGACACCTATTAGAAAACAACTACTCCCCTGGCTAATACCACGAAGGGCGTTGGATTATATCGGACAGGTGTCCGTGCAGGATTCTTCACTGAAGTAATTTCTGCATATGCTGTTGGCAATAGATTTTCAATAATTGGAACACACTTGCAGACCGGTTTCGGGCTGTTTCGCCACTCGTCAGTGCAAGGTAGTGTATATCATCAACATAAAGTCGACGATTTCCGATAATTGAAAATCAAATTCCTTCAGAGTATCATTCCTCGAACTAAGCTGAAGCATACAACAAACAACAGGTTTGTCGTCGCTCCATCTGCCTGTGAACGAGGTAACCAACTGCATATCCGACATTTGTCCAATTCCTCGTATAAGGAAAGAAAACTTTCCACATATAGTCAGTGGGCATACTTGAGGACTGGCTATAAATCAAATCATCTAAAAGAACAATTCGTTCAGGCCAGTCTCAACTCTCCACACTGTAGGTTAATGGACTGACACCTATCAGAAAACAACTACTTCCCTGGCTAATACCACGAAAGGCGTTGGATTATATCCGACAGGTGTCAGTGCAGGATTTTTCACTGAAGTTATTCCTGCATATGATGTTGGCGATACAACTGCCGCAATAGATTTTCAATTGTATGGTTCAGCTTAGTTCGAGAAATGATACTTTGGAGGAATTTGATTTTCAATTATCGGAAATCATCGACTTTATGTTGATGATATACACTACCTTGCACTGACGAGTGGCCAAACAGCCCGAAACCGGTCTGCAAGTGTGTTCCAATAATTGAAAATCTATTGCGGCAGTTGTATCGCCAACAGCATATGCAGCAATAACTTCAGTGAAGAATCCTGCACTGACACCTGTCGGATATAATCCAACGCCCTTCGTGGTATTAGCCAGGAAAGTAGTTGTTTTATGATAGGAGTCAGTCCATTAACCTACAGTGTAGGGAGTTGAGACTGACCTGAACGAATTGTTCTTTTAGATGATTTGTTTCCTATATATTTCCAATCCAGTGATAGGTGGAAAGGGGAACTGTTCCACACCTTTCAATAGTGATTTGAGGTAGAAATTTCAGTTGTTACTACTAGGAGAACTTATGGAGTCGGATTTGATATCAGAATCTTTCCTGAGGTAGTCTAGAATAACAGTGCCAAAATATTGAAAGTTAAAGCCAATAAGTGGTTCACTGAGCATACGGTTGATTAATCATTATATTCATTATAGTAGTGTGGAAACCATACAATGACGCACTAGATTGTACTAGTTCAGGATATTTGCGGTTGCTACAGTGGAGAAGGGGGAAAGTATGTATACCTCGAAATATATTATGGTTGTAAGAAGTCGCTGCAATGAAGATCGTGAAAGACGCTTGGGAACATTATAATCCAGATAGTTTCTGAAATTCCAGTTGGAGTTAACATGTATAGTTCTCGACCATAAACATGTAATGTTTCTTGAGAATAAAGCATCACTATCAATAAATTTCAA